CATCATGGGAAAGATGCCGCCATCAGTGAAGTGGGGTTTGAGGTTGAAGGTACGACTTACCGTTCCCCCCCACCCCTACCCAGTGTTTTCTCATGATGAATCGTGTCTTCTTTTCTGACAACGGGTGGGGATAGGATAGATGTTCTCCCTACGATGATTAGGGTTGATTGCCTCTCATCTTTCTAACCTTCAACTCTTAATCATGAAAGGATTGTTGATGATTACCCTTGTTATTGCTGGTGAGCTTATGTGCGAAATGACGTCAATATACATCGTTGTATAGGGGATATATGTTTCATGAGCAGGAGGTCAATCCTTCTCCTTCGTTGGGAAGTAATCAATGCCTCTGCTCCTTTTGGTGATAGGTGAGCCAACTACATATACAATCTGCCTGCACGCATCATAGTATAGAGATGCTAGACTCGGTTTCCAGCTCACATAAAGTACATCAGCTTTGGGGTTTTGCTTCATATCTGTGTTAGGGTTCGATTTCTGGCTTGATTGATAGAATTGGGCTTGATGCCTCGCTTACTATGCTGCTGTGCTAGGTTACGGGATAGGGTTTTCCCTCCAGGGGAGTTGTATTAATCGATGAATGAAGACAGACAGATTGGATGTCGTCTTATATGGATTGTTGTATGTATACAGGTAGTTTCTGATTGTAGGACATAGTTACACACCACTGTATAGGGACATTGGACCCCATTTCCAACTTACACACATCACATCAAGGTTAGGGTTTCGTCTGATAGATAAGATTGGGCTCGATGCCTCAATTTGTTTTGGAGATACTGTAGATAAGACGGATAGGTCGAGGAGGTCAACATGGTGAGGAGACTATCCATCAAACAGGGGCAGGCCCTGTGAGCAACCAGAGCTGAAAAAACCGTTGCCCCTTCGATCCTCCTGTACAGATACATCCACAACTCGTAATAGTCCGAGGAGATGACCATGGAAGATAGATAGATAGATAGATAGATAGATAGATAGATAGATAGATAGATAGATAGATAGATAGATAGATAGATAGATAGATAGAGAGAGAGAGAGAGAGAGAGAGAGAGAGAGAGAGAGAGAGAGAGAGAGAGAAGTGAGAGAGAGAAGGATTGGCTATGCTTAAAATGATAACATGAAGCACGGAGCCTGTTGGCGATGTCCCGCCTGGTTTCGGCCCTGCCGCCAGTTGCAAGGCCATCATCGGGGGACTTGAAAAAGCGCATGTGGACGGGATCAATTCCAGGGTTATACTTCCTGCTTGCGTACTCACGGGGCATCGAGAACCATCTCGAGTCACAATCCCAACTCGGACGTTTACTCCTACCCGCCATCCCAGGTAACTCGGTTTCACTTGGGGGGGAGAAACTGCTCAACAGGATTAAAGGTTCAGATTATAAGGGAGACTGAGTGATCATAGTCTTGGTGAGGGAGCGGGCATCAGAGATATGGCAGGGAAGAAGACAGAGGAGAAGATCAGAGAACAGTGGGTGGGAAAAAGGACTTAGGCGGGAAGCTGCACCAATGAGTGTCATGAGGAGAGTATCAGAAAAACGAGCTGTAAAAAATACGTCACCAAATTATGATAGATATATCGTCTGTAGAAGGAGACGAAAACCAGCGTGCGTTGATCGTCAGACAAAGGAGACACGTTTGGAGGAGGGAAGCGGGAAGATGTGGCGGCTGGCATATGAGGGACATGAATCAGGCAGACAGTCGTGCAGTATACAGCCGAGCGGACAGAAAACCAGAAAAAAACACAAAAAAAAAGGGAAACAGAAAAGACAAAAGGACCAAAAAAGCAAAATCAAAGAAAATCAGAAGATGCGAACCCTGCAAGCCACCGGGGCAAAGAAAAACAAACCCCACGGCCCTCCTTGCGAAGACACCACAGTCCTACTTGCAAAGATACAGGTTTGATATTTGCAGTCTCGACAGTTGATCATCCCTTCTACTACGGCCACAGGATATCCGGCTTTTTGGCCCTACTCCTAAACCAAGTTAAAAAATGGCGGCCCAGTCATCCAGTAACCCCTTATTTTCACGGGAAACCTCCCGTACCCCCTTGAAAAACAAAAACCTTGGAAATCCCTTCGAACGTAGCACTCTTCTTAATGCCAACAACGTAGCACCCACTCCACAATGATCTGAGAAGTGGGTCGCGACCCTATGTAGATGGCATTTAACTGACGCTTTCTTGTATTGTACTGGGCCGACGGACAAGAAGTCCTGGGTAGACTGAATTATGAGGGGATTCTCAGTCCACATTGTTGCCTGGTTCTTCATCATGGCGACACACTTTACACCAGGGGGGTCCACAAAGCAGATGAGAGAACAGCCCAGGAAGTCCCATTTTCCGCTTCCGTCGTCAGTTCGGACCAGGGACAAATTAGCATCAAATGGGTTGTGGAATAGCCGCAGCAGGTTTCCTGCTTTCTCCAGCCATATACTACTTTTTGTTGGAGGACCAAAAAAATGTTAATGTCATCTACGAGGCGGATCCCGGTTAGTCTTTAGGAAGTGAAACTCGTTGTAGGAGCAAAGCAGGCATGCCAAGGCCGGGCTCGAGCATTTACCCATTGGGATGCCCATTACTTGTTTAATCGTTCTACCTGTTATTCTTGCGTATGTATGTGGAAGGTCAAAATTCACGAAATCCAAGATCATAGTGAATCTCACTGATACCCAGCCGAACTCGCCAAAACTTCTAGCAAAACAGGCCCCTTTGCCCCTTTTATTCATTCGCACACAATCTTTTTCTTCACTCAAAAATGTGTCACACACCCACTCCACAACTCTAGAGATAGATGGATGGGGAAGTTTTGTGAACATCTCCTTTATATCAAAGCTGGCGCCTAGAAGACATTCATCTCTACGATGAGACACCTGCCTATCAATCTCCATTATCCTACCTTTCAGCAGGGATGTGGATTTGAGGTTGAAATGAGACCTAGACGGCAGACTCCAGAGAAGAAAATTGATGGCCCTGGCAATAATAATACAGGCTCTCACGCTTGTTTCCGCAAAAAAGGGCGAAATAGGGCGCCACCTAAAAGTATCTTTGTGCTTAGGAATACCATAACATTACCCAAGATGACCTTTGTCATCCCAAGGAGCCAACTTGCAGGCTACTATGTTCATGTACTTTTTTTTGCACAAACTTAATATTGCGTCTTCTTCAATGTCGACCACAACGAAGCCTGAATTATCCTAGAACAAACAAGAAAGTGCCTGTTGATAGATACTTCGGCAACACACCAAGGAATCTCCAACGTTGTGATCTATGGGGCCGACTACCAAGTCTGCCAGTTTCCTTTCCCACTTAGTCAGAGAGACGTTACTAGAGTCAGCCTTGGTCGGCCGTTCCCTGAAACAACGTGCCACTTCGCGGTTAGTCAGTCGATTGGATCCTGGACAGCTAGAAGTACCCGTTTCAGTAGCCCTTCTAATGGACCCCATTGAGACTGGTCTTTCTAAAGGAAGGGAGTTCTTTAAGTTGATCACACACCTGGGTAACTCTGAGAATTATGTAAATCGAAAGAAAACGTGCCCATCGCTGTTCCTAGGCAGGATCGAGTCACAAGGAGAACAATTGCAATAAAAAAACGTTGTTTTGGACATGCCCCTATGGTTGTGCAAGTGGCTACCCACAGTTTTTTGGCCGGTCCATACAAATCTCAGTTGAGAGATCATGAAGTCAGCAACACATTGGGGTTCGCACCGCCTTCGAATCTCCTTTTTTGCTACATTGATGACCTCCCGTCGAATCATGTTTTCAGAAAAAAACAGATTTTATTGTGATATTCGTCAGACATTTTAAACCACATTTCAATTTCAGGACCCTACCAACAACAACTTTCAAAATTGCTCTGGTCCTTCCATTTCCAAACGACTCAATGCAATTATATAAAGTAATTAGTGCTTTGATTTCAAAGTTGTAGAGCATCTTTCTCGACTGAGGCATCTGCAACCACGATAGTAAGACAAACTTTCTCTGTTGCGACAGACTTTTCGATAGCCTTATATGCAATACGTTGAACGTACCCCCTTTCCTGAAAATCAACCTGGCATCTTTCAGAAACAGCCTTCGGTTACCATGCTCTATTATCGACCAACCCAGCTGCTTCTTCAAACGGCCCCAACCTTCGTAGAAATAAAACCCACCCCTAGTCCTGATAGTGGCAGAAAAAAAGTCAGAGTTGGTGGCATTTTCTAAGGTTATGCCCAGACAGAATGTAAAGGATGACTTGTCAGATAATAGAGAGCTCCCAACCGAGACTTCCCAGGCCAAAAGATGATTGTTACTGGTCGTGGCAGGTTGCAGACGCCGTGCTTCCTTTCGAAAGTCCTTCTCTTTCTCCTCCCCTTCCTTCGTATACAGTGTTTGCGCCTTCGTTGTGTGTTCAGGGTTGGAGACCATCTCGCTATACAGCTCACCTCTACTTCTCTAAGTTCCTTAGAAGGTACGTTGACTAGTGGAATAGCAACATAATTCTCCCACCCTTTAGCTGCCAGCCATCTCCTTAGCTTATGGTTACCTCTCGTAGAAAAACGGTTGACATTCCCAGAGTGTTCATCCCATCTCTCAGATATACCCCTGGTAGTAGACCCAATATACGTAGCTTTCATCCATGGTGAAAGAAGGACATACACACAGCATCCGTCTCCTTCACATATATCATACCCTCCATGCACTGAATCAACCCATTGATCGACAAATTGTAAGCCCCACTTGATCTGTCCGGCTAGAACTAACAGTAGCACGAATAACCTCAGCTTCTGCTCAAGCCAACACTTATCCTTACCTTTCTTTATCCTGTTAGCCCTCTGCTGGCACAGATCCTTGACCTGTTGCCATAACCACGTGGGGTTATGGTAAGACTCAAGAAGGGTTCTCTTATTGAGTTTCCTCCGTCATTTCGTTATCATGCTCCAGAACCTCCTCCTCTTCCTCGTCTCTTACACGTATAGCCGTCAAGTCTGCAACCGCCTGTTTTTTGTTATGGTATTTAACCTTATCTTTGTTGCATAATTCCACTAACTCGTTCTTATACATCGCCATGAGTACCTTCTCCATTTCCTCTCTATACTTCCTCCTGCCCCTAGGGCCATGGTTCGCAACCACGGCCTTACTCCCTTCTCTAACCCGATTGAACCCAAGACCAGGTGACATACTAAATCTAGCAGCAGATAGGCTCCCTCTCATACGGCTGGCTGTGCCAGCCACTGAAGGAAACACCTCAGCGAGTCGACCCGTCGATCTGGCGCTACCCACCGGAGTCTCTGCTTGTAGACGCGACGTACATGGATTGTCTTGAGTCTGTTCACCTGCCGGGGTCGCCATGCTTCGTGTAACCAGACAGTTAGCATTCATCAGAGCTTGCTCCCGGATGACAATACCAGGTGCTCTTCTACTAGATGGCGCAAGTGGAGGAGCGGGAGGAGGAGAGGTGTGCTGGTTAGAGCGTGCGCAGGTTGAGGGGGAATAGGAGGATTAGGGGGAACAGGAGAGCGCGCTGCAGGAGGTGATATAGGTTGATCAGAGGGTTGTTCATCCGAGATAACAACCGTTGGATGTTGAGGCTGATGTGACACAGTCAGAGGTTGCGGTTGAGGACGAGCAACCGGCAGTGGCGCAGCTGTTGGAGCGGTGCGTATGTTTCGAAAACGCTGAGGTTCAGCCCGAGATCCTCCTGCTGCAGTTTCAACCGGGGCAACCGGTGGAGTCGTGGCCTCAACAGCCACAGCCTGGACATGATCTGCAGGTGGTGGATTGGCGGCGCTTCGATTAGAAGCTTCGATCTTCTCAATCAAACCGATAACGCGCTCAAACATCATATTTTGCTGATTCTCCGTCCGTTCCATCATCAGGTTCTGATGTGCCTGAGCACGCTGCACGTTGTCAATGTTCATGAGCAACAGCCCTGCGTCCAGAGCACCGACTTCATTGACGCGCTGCCTCGGGTTGGAAGGCTGCCCTGCTGGAACACCCGTGATCTCGTCTTGTCCCTTGTTCTTGGCTTTGTCAGCGTTGCTTGCCGGGTTGTCTCCTTCGGCAGTCTCACAGTCTTTCACGACAATCTTTTCCCACAACTTCCTATTATCCTCTTCTCTCTTCTTCTTTATTTCTTTCATTTTTTCATCCATCATCTTGGCCAATCGAGCCTCTTTTTCTGCCTTTTTTCGTGCCTCTTCCTCGATCCTTTTCATCTCTGCATCCTTCGCAACCCTCCCTCGTTCTTCCCTCATTCTTCGCTCGTTTTCCAATCTACGTGATTTCCTTAATTCTCTATGATCATACGCTAACTCCCATACCAGCACCAAAATTTCTCCCTCAGCAGATCTGGGCCTGGAATTCCACGAGTTCCAGCCCGTCCCTCCTTGATACGGGACCACCTGGTGCGGCTGATATGAAACTAGTGCATTAGAGGATGGTGTCATTTCTGATTCGTGGGACACGCCGTTAGTAACAAAAGCTTGAGGTACTGGGGGAGGAGGAGCAAGAAGAGGAGGAGGGAGAGCAATAGGGGGAGGGGGAGGGGAAGGAAAGGTGGAAGCAGAAGGAGCAGGTAACACGGAAGATGAGACAACATTAGATGGTAGCGGAGGAGCCGAAGGGGCGTACTGCTGTGAAAACGCCGGAGGCTGGGATAAGATCGGATAGCTACGATTAGTCGTTTGTCCGAAACTCGGTCCACCAATCGGCCTCCCCGACACATAGCGATCATCCCTCCTTGGATGGGGACAGTTCCTAGCCCAATGGCCATGCTGCCCGCAATTGAAACACTCGCCATATGGAATGTGAAAGTTTTCCCCCATGCTCGTTGTTTGAATTCCTTCGTTCCGCTTGGAGCAGGCCTCGTTACGAAGATCGACTTGAGCCTTCAAAGCCGGGACGTAATTGACATCGGAGAACCAAGTGAGAATTACTGGCGAATCCACCACTCCACGACCACCACGGTGATTAATGCGCTACTATTGGTCGAGAAGGAGGTCAGCATGGTGAGGAGACCGTCCATCAAACAGGGGCAGGCCCTGTGAGCGGCCAAGGCTGAAAAAACCGTTGCACCTTCGATCCTCCTGTACAGATACATCCACAACTCTTAATACTCCGAGGAGATGACCATGGGAGAGAGAGAGAGAGAGAGAGAGAGAGAGAGAGAGAGAGAGAGAGAGAGAGAGAGAGAGA